GTGCCTATTGTTGTGTCCTGATTGCGCTTTTTATCATCATCGTTGTTTTTTATCAGTTTGCTTGTCTTTTAAGGCACGTCTCGGAAGGTCATCTGGTGGCCTGTTATTCCCGCGATGATTATCCTCGTTGCGGCTATAATTATCATCCGGTATCACTGTAGAAGACAGCGTTGTTCAAGACAATCCAGATCGTCACGCGCAGGTGAAGGTCTCCGTCAACATGTCCCTCACAGGATCGAATCTTCCTCGCCATTCACTGTGCAGCTTCCACCTGTTTACACCTTGACGCCATCCAACACAGAGAATGCTCCGCCTTCATATGAATCATCATCTGCGCTTCCACCGTCCGCGCTTACTCCACGAACCTCCCAGCCTCAGGCTAACGAAATTCTTTTAGTATCCCTTCCTCCATCTCATGGTAATAATTCTCAAAATAAGGATAATGATAAAGATAGTGATAGTGATAGTGATAAGTTTGCCTTTATCTGTAAACGTGGTTTTAAATATCCCCATAAGACTGACACCATGATGACCTGTGCTTAACGTAGTTCCCTTGAAAAGGATGTACTATCCAAAACTTGGAACGATTGTCACTTATGTTATAGGGCATTCAAAAACTGGAAGAAAAAGATGGGGTCATGGTGCTTGTGTCCGCCCTGTGTGCCCGTAATTCTGAGTTGTTGTTGTTTTTTTGTTGCTAGTTGCCCGCGAAATGTTCGAAACTTGAATAACCGTCAAAATGTTGTATCAAATAGCAATTATTATGAATCTTACTAGAACCTAAAACCTGTTTGTTTGTCTCGGCTATGATCTTCAGTTAAATGACTTCATATGGAAAAATGAAGAGAAATGGTCAGTTTTAAGATTATCTAATGCGAGAATCTAATACCTCTCTGTGCGGCTCCAAAGGCGGAGTTTCGAGTCATTGATATCTAAAAATTTACAATTACGGTGCACTTTCAAAACTCGAAAACTACTAATTACATCTTCTTTTTCTCTCTTAGAAGTAACGAGCGTTCACCACACATATGTTTGAGAGGCCAGGAGGGAAGTAATGGAAAAAATACTGAATCAAAAAATGAGGCTTTGTTTGTGCCCTGCTATAATATCATACATTACGGTACGACATGACAACAATTCGTGCGGACTCTTTTCAAAAATACCGTAATACTCTTCGTTGTCTCTCCGAAATGTTGCATAATGAAGCATTGTTTTCAATTTTTCTTGAGGCGATTAGAGGGGCAACAAAGATTATTATGGTATTTTTTGAAAAAGGACTTTTGAACTTATTCACAAAATCATCGCTGGAATGGTGGAGGTTATTTAACTGTCAAACTCAAGGCTCCTCTATCACCGCATCATTGCAATTCCTAGGTCGCTTCTCATTGACTGTCCCGGACTAATCGGAAGTAACTGCAAGTATTTAAAGGTATTCAAAGTCTACTAAACCGTTGTTCACCCACGGCCGGACAAGGGAAATTGGGTGCCTTCCACTTAATGATTGCCAAGGCGACCGGTCAGAAGCTAGTGGGACTAACTGGCAAAGAGGATGACTGTTCTATTGAAAAAAAATTAACGTTTTCAACCGGATCAAAGAGTTCCATTCAATTCAATAGAAATTATGACTATTTTTCAGCAAAAACTGGAATGGAAACGAGAATAGTTTTGGTCCGAGCCGAACGCTCAAAGAAGAAACCCTCTGGACAGTACAGTAGTATTCTTTCCGATTCAGAATAATATTTTTGTTCTTTTATAACACGAACTAGTCTAGTTGTTTTTGTAATAGTGTCAATAGTGCCGATCTTTAGCGAAGGATACTCAAGCGCAAAGTTATTTATAGATTATTTCAGTTGACCGTGTGAACTTTTCAAAAATGCTCACGCATGCGCACTCCGAGATTGTCTAGGCGTCTCCCGGCCGTTCGTCTCGGATACGTCACCGAAATGCATTGACCGAGAGGGCCTGAAAAGACGCCGTACGGGGACTAGGCAACATGCTGCTGAAATTTATATTGTGACGGAGTTTTAATTGACCTTCAGGTGTGTAACATTGTGAAATTCTTTTCAGCCTTTGAGTCTAAGTGTTCAGTAAATTTATAAAACTTCCAAATATTTAGTCATCAAAAGCGCTTAAAACAGCCTCAAAAAACCCCCACAAACTGCAACATATAAAATTTTATAATAGAACTAAGACAACTCATTCAGTTAGTTTAATTCTTCGTATTTTTGGCATTATAAAAAGCTGTTTGTCACTTTCCCACTGATACGAATTCCTATCTTATTATTATGCTAAAAGTCAGGGATCATTTCCCCAATTTATGTGTCACCTTCTCTATACAGTACACAGTCACGTAACCTGTGCTCAAAACATTCATAAATTAGTATGAGAGCGTCGACGGAGGTTTTTAACTGGCATAGACTCCTGACTATAGCAGTCAGTCAGTAGTTCAACTCTGTGAATATGCGAAGTTTGTTTTGGTCCATATATGCTATGAAGCATATTTGATTAGACCACTGACATCCGCTTGTTTGTATCCCTTTTTAACCCTTGGGTACGCGCTAATATTTCTATTTTATCAAGTTTTTTGCCCAACACTATATAGGACATACAGGCCACTCCCATGTAAAGTACAAAAAGTTATGTAAAGGGTAGTTTGAATTTTTTCGTTTTGGGCGGGTTCGTAAAACCACCAGACTGAATCTGAGAACTGACTCTCCGACGAAACCTCATAAAGTGTTACATGCATAACACCTTTTCAAGAAAATAATCCTTGCAACAGGAAGGGACCAAGAAACGCTCAAATGGGGAAAAAAAGAATTTTATTCCTATGCAAAATACGCATGATTTGCTTGTTGGCCCTCTATCGATAAGTATACCTACCTTATTATAGGAAATTAACGCTCTATGAAATTAACGCGAATCGTTAAAATTCGCTTTAATTTAAGTCGCGTTAATTTTGTTCAGCGTTAATTTCCGCGACGTTAATTAAGTGCAGCGTTAATTTCCGCGCTCTTAATTTCCAGTATTTTAACCCCAATTTTGGTACCTGTCCAGACATTCTTCACACCTAAAAAACACTAACTACAAGCTTTCTTTCTTTCCATTTACCCTTTATTTTTCATCTTTCACAAAAGCTAAGGCGAAGGTTTACACTATTGCGAGCTCATCTTCATCGTTGTCGCTGTCAGAAGTGATGTCAGCTCAGTTTTGATCGGTTTGAATTTTTTTGCATCCAGTGTTGGAATAAATTTGTTCCAGTTGTCACCACCAACTGTGTCTTAATTGCGTTAATTTCCTTTATTATGAAATTCTACCCCCTCTTTCGCGTTAATTTTCTTTATTCGAAAGTCGTTTGCCATTAAATTCGCGTTAATTTATGTCGCGTTAATTTTCATGGAGCGTTAATTTCCTATAAGGGACTGTGCAATAATTATCAGGAGGGGGGGCTGAAAAACTAGAGTTATCTAGCAAAAACTTAGACAGTACCCCCCTCCAAAACATAAAAAATTAGTTCTAACCCCCCCTCTGTTATGTTAAAAATAACGTCGAACCCAACCCCCCCCCCTCCCACCACACTGGTAAACTCAAAACTGGACTGAGCTGCCATCACAGCTTCAATAATGACAAACGTTATTATGTAACATCTAGTATCGAGAAGGATGTTGATCGCTTGATTGAAGATTTAGACAAAGCAAAGTACCGGGGTGCTTACCACATTGGCTCAAAATCTAAAATTTCTGAAGCCAGAAAGAGAAAGGAGCAGAGAATAAAATCAAAGAACAGGAGATTGAACGCTTCAAATAACAGACGAAAAAGAGCTTGCATTATATTTATATCCTTGGGAGGAGAGGCTGTTGAACTTTGTTATGAGCCACATATATGTGGAATTCAGCAAATCGATTCAGTCGATGAAGAAACATTACTTTTATTCACATCAAAAACCGACAAAGCTTGTCTACGAGATCCTTTTTGATTCCCATTGTTTTATGGGGGAAGCTGAAAAAGAAGTTCATGATTTTTGCTTTACATAGGATCAGCTCAATTAATTAGAAGACGGGTTAAAATTGATCAGTTGTGAATTTGCTTTTCATGTTGATGGAATATTGTCAATAATCGTTCAACAGCTGTTCGTGTTGATATTTGTTACAGTCTATCATGATGCCTGTATTCAGAATCTTTTATTGCGTTTAATTTTATTTACATTTCGCATAAAACTTAAGGCCCCCTCCGTCAAATGAGTGATTTTACTTTGAGCCCCCCTATCTTGGCAGCAATTTTATGTAATGCCCCCCCCTCTAGTTTTTCAGCCCCCCTGATAATTATTGCACAGTCCCTAAATGGTTGGTAGGTACTTTAAGTTGGGTTATTGATACACTTTAATAACCCTACTTAAATTACCTACCAAATGGTTCTGGACAACCGCTGTCCAAAAAGCTCTTGGACTCTGACTAAAAGATTAGTAGTCGCCTGAGTAGTCGCAGTGATTTACAGGGGCACCCAATGGATCTGTTCCTCAAAATATCTGTTCTTCATGCAAATTTTTGCTGGCTGGGAGATGTGAAAAAAATAATAGTCCTTGGAAGGAAAGTGTTGCTGGGAAAAAGATAATTCAGGGTGTCAGAGGGGATTTGAAGTCTAGAATAGCTGCTACGGGTTACTTGTATGGGTTGCTTACCACTCAAGATCTGAATTGTGCCCTAAGAAACTTCCCAGTAAGTCAGGTTGCAGGTTGTAACGTTGCTGGCTGGGAACTCTTCCATCAGTCTTGCTGGGAGTGAGGAACAGATAATTTTTTTCCAGCAATCTCCCAAAATGCTTAAAATAGTCTCAGAAAACTTTATTCACGCTTTGTTGTTGTTTTTAGGTCTTTTTCTCAAAATTTCCCGTTGGGTGCCCCTGGATTTATCTACTGGTGTCCGCGGTGGAATATTTGCGCGCGAAGTTCAAGTGATTTCTCTTGTTATTTTTTGGTCTATCCACTTAAATTCAGTATTCAACACATGGATTCTCTTCGCCAACCAGTAGCAGGAGACGATGAGCAACATCATGATCAGTTTTGTGTGAAGGTGATGAAACGCCTCAATATTCAACGAAGGAATGAACATCTCTGCGATGTGATTCTAGAAGTTGGTTCGCGAGATCATCAAGCTCGCTTGAAAGCCCATAAAATCGTGTTATGTGCAGCGAGTCCGTTCTTTTACAATGCGTTAAACATTGACATGACAGAAAAGAAAGAAGGAGTGATCAAACTGGAACAAACGAGCAACGCTGTAATGGGAGAAGTGTTGGAATATCTCTACACGGGACATGTTGACATCAATGAACAAAATGTCTTTGATTTGCTACAACTGGCTGATTTTCTAATTGTTCCCAATTTGAAAGTGAAGTCAGTGGAATTTATTTCTCAAACATTGTCTTCTTCGAACTGCTTAATGGCCTATTACTCCGCCATAGAGTACCAGTGCCCCGACTTGCAAAAACAAGCGAGTGATTTCATGTTTGCAAACTTTATGAGTGTTGCAAAATCAGAAGATTTTCAGAATTTGAAGTGTGAACAAGTGGAAGAGTGGATTTCAAGTGAAGAAATTCAAGTGCAAAGCGAGGAAGAAGTTTTTCACGTGATCTCGAAGTGGACGGAAGGACGTGATCATAAAGACTGTAAGTTTTATGAATTGTTTCGTCACGTTCGTGTCCCTTACATGTCACGCAGTTTTGTGCTCAATGTGATTTTACCACATCCTCTTGTGAAAGGCAGTGCAGTTTGCACAGAGGTTGTTTTAAATGCAATGAAAGAGGTCTCAAGTGGCAGAGAAGATTGCTATTTTGCCAAACCACCAAGGAACTGCCTCAAGAGTTATGAAGATGGGCTTGTTGTCTGTGGATTGGATAAAATGTATTGCTACATTCCTTCAGATAACAGATGCTACAAGATGGCAGATATGCGAACTAAAGGACAATTACCTGGCACTTGTATGGATACTTGTCATAGAAAATTATACATCATGATAATAAGTGGTGATGGTGATACCACTGAACTGAAACGTTATGACCCATTAGTCAATTCTTGGGATCCTATGGAAGAGCATGCAGAAGATACTTTCTGTGCAGAAAGAAATTCTGAAATTCTGAAATTCTGCTTCCCCACACTGACCTTCAATGCTATTCTATTTCCCATTTCTGACAACGGAACCAAATGACATTTTCCGCTAAACGTTTTATTTCAGTGATGCCTGATAAACACTGAGATGAAATCCTTTCAGTACAAAGGATCATATCTACCTAATTCGGTAAGTTTATTTATTATACGAACTCCGAGGGGGGAGGGTGGTACTCCCTACAATAGCCTATACGGACGGTCTCCGCCGAAAAGGGGCGGTCTCCAGTCAGTTAAGGGTAGCTGCGTCTTGAGAAGGTTTTTTTTTAAAAAAAAATATCACGGTAGTGTATTATGCTCAGTAAGTTTTGACTCGGCTAATTTAGTCACAGAGTTTTGCTCTTGAATCTGTACGTACATCGTACAACACTGTTTTGCGACCCAATTTGAAGGTTATATGCTGGCATTTAACATTTAGTAGTAATAAAAGTCAGATTTTAGTACCTTCTGTTTTTAGACTGGAAAAATATTGTAACGTTTGCTGTTTAGTATCTGAGCTTGCACCGTCCCGCGACGGGTGCAACGTTAACTTCACGTACTCAATAGTGATACAAAAAAAGCAATAATTGTTTAATGTTAAGTGAAAATTTTCAAAGATGTTTAGGCAATAGACCTTGTCACGGTTTTCGATCCCATCTTGACGAGTCGAATAATTTCCGTAGAACGGCTGTTCTGAAAAAAATATGAATCGTAAGCTGAAGCTTTACTTCTAAGGATTCTACTGAAACAAATTAAGAGCGTTAATTACATGCGCTAGAAGTCCTAGAACCACTTTTTAAAATTTTCTATTCATTTGTCTGTAAGAAAGTCCTGGAAAAAATTACGGACAAATATATGGAAAATCTAAAGCAATCCTCTGGAGAAATTTAAGCACAGGTACGCCCCAAATTTTTTTTTAGCACAATCCTTTATTTTGTAGCTTTAGTTTACAAGTAATATTTTTTTCGGAACAGCCATTTTACGGAAATTATTCGACATTAGATTCTCATACAAACACTGTAATTTCTCATCCGTTTGCCTACTCGTCAAGATGGCGTCGAAAACTTTTTTCAACACGAGAAGGGAAATGTTGTATCTCCAAGCGGCCATGTAATGCTCTATTTCTTATATAAATACCATTCCACTTTAATACTTTTTTGGTGTGAAAGGCGCGATTTATTACGTAGCCATAGCAACGGTGATATTTTCACATGTAAAGATATCAAGTTTTCGCGTGAAAGCTCACCTGGTATTTCATTGCTGTTTATATGATAATACTGTAATTGTAAGCCTATGAGGGTAAATACTGAATTCAGGCTTAACTATTTGGCTTACTTTTTTGCAATACAAATGCTAAATGTCCGTTATTCAATCGCCCTGTATTTAAAATGGCCTGAAGAGATTTCAATACTGAATTTACTTAATAGTTTGTTTTTTTTCATTTTGCATACATAGTTATTTTAACCTAATCGTGGGTATCTTATATTTCCTTTTTCATAGTTTTGTTTTTATCAATATTGGGTAGTGAAGTTCCAGTGATTTTATTTTGGACAGGAGTTAATTGTAGGGCATATCATTTTCCCTTTCTTCCGTACATGACTCGAAACATCATGAAGCGTGACCTCATGGCCGAAGTAAACATTTGGCCAGTTAGCTTCACTGTACGCCCTCCCATTCCCCGATGAGACCCATCGATGTTTTGATAAACCAATCGTAGCTAGACTTCCTTGCATTGAACTGAAATGTGGCGTTAACATAGGCGTGCTTTACGACACGAACAAATTGGAGCGTGACGTGCGATCTCTGAGAAATTATGCAAAAAAGGGTAACCACTTCATCGATCTACGTGCTATAGACGACACTAGGAAACAACGTGAATGAGACCACTACGCGTCAACAAGACTGAATTGAACCATTGAATTTCGAAAGTTGATTAACCTCTTGAAGATGACACTAATTAATGAAAATATTAGTTCAACACAGATAAGGGAGTGCTGGCACATATTTCTCGTAAACCTCTTGTTCCAGTCATGCTTATAATTGAAACCCTCGATTGGAGCCATATTTAAAGAGATTTCTTCAAAAAAGATGAAAGTACTTCCAGTGCAACGACTCATGTTTATTGTGATGGGTAGGTTCACTTGTCAATATCTACTTACTAGTACGTAATCAGTACTTCCATATTATTTAGTATGCCTCGGTCCTGCGAGCATAGTTCCTTCGACGTAGCATATATATATACGAATCTCATTTACAACAGACTTAAAGAAAATGCATCAGCAGTAATGTTAAATGTGATAATAAATTTTTTGGCGAATTTCCTATTCCAAGGAGGAAATGTTAAGTTCAGGCTTATTGATTTTCTCTAAAGTAAACAAAAATTGAAGCCGTTGGCTGATATGTTTACTGGCACGTCGATATGTCGCTGGTTGTTTGCTTGTAAACAAAATGTTACACTCGATTTGTTTCAGCCAGTTAAGAGTAACGGAACTATTTTATCCAATGTCCTACAAAATGTCGCTAGCAGCTTTTAAACTTGGTAACCTTTCTGTCTCTATATTCTTTCTTCTGTGTAGTTCGTCTTTTGATTTGGTAGCCAACTTAGAAAACCTTATGGTTCACTTGGCCACCATACTCAAACTATAATATTAATTCTATAGAAACATTTTCCTGTAAACATCAATCTAAGAGACTGTAACCTAGCATTAATCAAAATATTGAGAGAAACAATGGAAAATAAACTGAACTGAACAGAAGGGTAAGATTGAAGTGCCCTCGAAATAACTCTACAAAAGCGGAATTTATAGTTGTGTGGAATTCATACTGTAGGTCTTAAAGAAATTTAAACTATTTAAGTGCGACATTTTAAAAAGGTAAAATTTTTATATTAAACATATTCAAGCACTTACCTTAAATTCAATTTGTATATAAAATTAATGTGCCTTTAATTGGTTTGATTATTATATTATATGTGAAACAACTAACATCTTTTGCACATGTATATATGGCTTCGTTGCCTAATTGATATTCACATTTTCGTTACGGAATAAACTGAAGGTGCTTCTCTAGTTTTGCACAGCGCAATATAACAAAATGGCCTCCATGAAAAAGCGCTTTTAGCTCAGCTGCTGAGATGAAGAATTTTGCCGTGAATTCGGAATTTATCTGAAAACGGCATATTGCACAGAGTCTACTTTGCCAGAAATAGGTGGTTTTCACGTTACGTCATCGCCGCCATGCTGGTGAACGGTAAACAAAAGATCGCTCATTAGCTCGCTTTGTTTGTCCACCAGCATTTGTTCATTTCACCATTGTTATTTGTGTCTCCCGAGATTGCATGAAAACCACCTATAAGGGAGCTTAAGCAACTACGACGACGACCACAACGACGACTCCAAAAAAAAAAAAGGTTTAATGATCAAAACAACAGCTCTACACGTGCATCACGCTTTTTACTACTTTTCTTTGACGTCCACTGCACGACTACGACGTGAAACCTCCTAATTTGACGTTTTATGGAGGACATAGACATACGACGACGAATTTTCCTTCATCTTTTTGAACCTGAATAAAATCCTTAAGAATTTAACTCCAGGAAAAGTCGCCTACATTTGACATATTGAGTGGGTCCAAATAGAAGCGATTAAGTTTGAAAGAACGCAAACTCATTTTTTACCGACGTTTTCACTGCCGCCGTCGTCGTCCTTGCTTAAGGTCCCTATAAAAAGAAAAAGTTGAACGAAGAGATTTTCCGTGCTCAGGCCCCTAGGAGGCTCTGGGGACGAGAATGACCGTCCTCATCGAGGTCTTTGATAGTCGATGTTTTGCTGAACCGCTTTTAATGGCATTCAAGCTTCATCGTTATCACATTATGTCCTACTTTTAATTGCTTTATCTCGATCTAAATTCCATAAAATCTAGCTTCTTTTTTTTTCAATGCTTTTTTCCACGTACATGCCGTTTTGAAATTAGCTCCCTCCAGTCCTGGCTCAAAAATGTGAATGAATGCAAGTGGCGTGTATTTTCTGCAGCTCTACAGCAAAAACAAAACACGGTGACCGTCATATTCTATTTCATGGTTTCAATAAAAAGCAATACTTCCTTTCCATGAGAAAAAACAAATTGGCCAAAATCTCTGTTCAGTATTTCCATGACCAGCGGAGAAGGAAGTTGTATCACACACTGTTAGGGCATGGACGACAGGGAGAAACTTCAGTTTAGATGGTACAAGGGCCTTTGCAAAGAGATAAGTGGGCAGGATGTTGTGGGGTTTTTTTTGTCCCATAGGACGCCCAAAAATTCCTTCAAGTCTAAATAAGCCTGTTACAGGCTTTATAATGACTGACTAGTGAATATTTTCTACTTCATCATGATCAGCTATATGAACTATCATTTTCATGTCATGTTTTTCATCATGTGATCCAGTTTCATCCTGTTGAACGCATCGCGACAAGATGTATCTCACATAACAGGGTTTGCAAATTTTATTGATCAGTGGAGTCGGTGTGACTTCTGCTTCACAAATTTTGGAGTCATTTTGTAGTATTTGGAGTCAGGTATCACAACGAAAAAAAACATTTTCAGACTTTCCGGCACGTGGTCCTGGCATGTATACACTATCGTGAGGGATACACGAACTAGCTGTGATGGTCCGCTGACCTGGAAAGCTCAAATCCATGATGGCGGTCATTGAGTAAACTTTGATCGTAATTTACCCTCTTCCTGTTTTGTCGTGCAGTATAATTCTTTAATTTCGATGATTTAATTAAGGTTTACAACGTTTACAATTAACGTAAATTGTATTTGTTGCGAAAAAGGTAAGGACAAAACTGTGTTTGTTACCGAAAATTTCTGGAGTCGAAGTGGCTCCCTGTTTGTTACCGAAAATTTCTGAAGTCGAAGTGACTCCCTCCGTAACCTCAGTGGAGTCATCTGAACAATTTTGGCGTATTTGCGAACCCTGGTCACATAGCAAACGACTTGCCAATGTCAAAGCAATTCCATTTTCCACGTCAAACATTTTTCAGTCAACTGCAAAATTTAATTCTCCCACCTCATAAAGTGACGTTAAGTCAGTCTTGGTCAAAAGTAAGTAAGGTATCCAGCACCAGAGTCGTGTCGTCTCCAGTTAACAGGACACGAAGGTTTTTAAGTTGTTTCCATTTGGCAAATGACACACTTAACCAGTCAATAGCTTGAGGAAGCGACCTGTTTCTTGCGTTTTAGAACTACAACATGAACCTATTTCTTTCTTCCTCTTTTTATAAGGACAGTTTTCTCTTTTATGTGACTAGAGTAGTTTAGCTGCAAGGATCGCATGCACATTTGGAATGAGGTAGCGCAAACCCTTACCATCCGAAACAAGAGAAAAAAGAGAGAAAGCATGTGCAGATATCAGACGAATAAGAAAAAAACGCCAGTGGAACAAATAGCAACAACAACAGCAACAACAAAAAAGGGGTGCATGGGGCGACCTTTCCAATAAGTATTTCCACGGCAAATCTTAGTCTTCTTCACTGGCTTCCGTACAGAGCCAATGCCTTTGGGTTTACTCCTTTCCGAATGTTCTTTCTTAATATTCAATCAAGACTTACAAGCCACGCAAAAGCTATCCCATGGTGATCAAGGGACCTATAAATTGGTTAATGCTATTTTCTTTTTTTCTTTTCATGTATCAGTAAAAAAGAGTTCGAAGCAATTAGCATGAAAAAACAAATGAAATTAAGTAGGATTGTGAATTACTCTGCATTGGTGTAGAACTATTTTCAGGAAAACGGACTGCATCAACAGGAGTTACGCTTTTAGGCTTAGCTAAATTTACGTTTATATTTGTTTTAAGGTTTTATTTTCACGAGACAACCAAATGTTGCTGGCGGTAAGTAATTTTTTTTTGTACTAGCACTCCTTCACCCCACAAAAACACATAGCCACAATATATATATATATATTTTTTTCTTTGTTTTTCTTTTCTCTCTTCCTTTTTGTGGCTTACTGCCTCTTAGAGGCGATAAGCCATAATGTTATGCGACAGTGTAACAAATAGCCCACTGACGAACTCTACCGATTTCGATCCGATATTCCCCTTTTTGTTTCGGAACATCGTCGGTTGTTCAACTTTTGTCGAGGATAGCTTCGAATGGCCTCGAATGTTACTCGGAATTAGCACATAATCACACGAGGAATTTTCGATTTGCCATGTGCTCTCAATTTTGTCGCCGTGAGTTCTTCATTCATAATGAGTTTAAACTATTTAGGTGTAAGAATCAAGCACTGCTGTCTTCGTATTTATGGAGAACTTGTTAGCAGACTGAGAATTCAGTTTCCAATTTTCCAGAAAATGTTTGACTCCATCGAAGAGCGATCGAGTGTTTAGTGCAGCTAATGCATGATTCAGTTCCCCCTCCCCCGAGGCAACCCCCGGGACAAGTCCAGCCCTTCGGGCCCGGGGGGAGGGGGAATTGTTTGAAGCGGTCCTGTCCCGGTGGTAGGGGGTGAGGAAAATAAAAATGATCTTCTCTTTGATTTTGGGCTTTGATTTTTTAAAGTACGTGTTATTTCTCACGCGGTTTACATGATAGCTGCGGGCATGGACTACGTATTTGTAAGGAAAAACGAAGGAATTTTTCGGAGAGTGGTTGGAGAGGAATTAATACCCAAAATTATAGTCTGTATTTAAAGGTATGGTTTAAAATTTAAAACGAATGTGCGTGTGACGCGTACTCGAATGGATTTTATTTTCTGGAAAAGAAGGACAGAAATATTTCTTCAGCTTAGCTTCAAAGAAAACTTATATGAAAACAAATACAAGGCTTTTGTTATATATAGAGAAACAGAGATTCTGTCAAGGAGGCGCTTTTTTAAGAGTTTTTCTTCTTCGATTTCGTTTTCAAATTTATTGTTCATCTTTTAACTACATCATAACATCCATTATCCTTCTCTCAATAAACTCAGGAAAACGTTTATAGCGGAGCTCACGTGACCGTACACCGACCGCCGACCGCCGACCGACCGTCCGTCCGCACCAGAGGATAACCAATGTTTACTCTCACACTTTTAGCTAGTTTGGAAGCCCAAGAGAAAACTAATTGCACGTCAATGTTATGATCAATTGACAGCTGTCAAAACAGGGCATCCGCTGACCAGTATCACCTGACCGTAGCGCGGGCTCAAGTGTCGACCCATCGAGGTCGAGTTATCCGCTGACAAATTACCAGTTTGAAATTATCGCAGGCTCAAGTTTATTTTTTTCATATCAAATATGTTGTGTTTATGTCACTATGGCCCCGCACTATTAGGATTTTGATTTCAAACTGGCTTCGGGAGCGAAAATTCAGCCAGTGTTTTTAAAAGTACAGGCGGGGAAGACCTTATGTTACCATGGTCACGCGTTGGTCACCCTCTACGTCCAATTTTTACACTCTGATTGGTCAAAATTTGACAGGTGAGTTCATGCGAAAAAATTATGCAGCATCTTGAAAATTGTTTACTTTGACAGCTGAAGCTGAAGAGTTTTGTGTCAACTTGTGATGTTTTTAACTGTCTTTTTCTTCTGGATGTACAAAATAAAATACAGCTGCTATCAGGAGTCTTCTGTTCAGAGTTCAGAGTTACCTTGGAAAACAGTAAACACCCGCGCCGGGAAGCCGGCTTAAAAAGCTTCACACCGAGACTCAGGATTTTTAGAGACACTTTAATACTTGTCTTCATGAATGAAAATTGTTTTCTCTGTAAATATTTCACCGAATTATATTTCTTTTTTTGATTGTTAGTAGTCTCTCTTGCAATTTTAATTGCTTGTCTGTGCCGTTTGTTTTCATCGTTCATGAACATCGCTTGCAGGAGTACTCAAAAATGTCGCGCGTATCAAACGCTTTATAAGATTACACATCGTTATAACTGAAACCATTAAATAACAAAAAAAAATAATAATAAATTCGCTATTATGTTGAAGCTTAATAACTCTATTAAAGTTCATTCAAACACTCGACCACACTGACGGCTCGCACTATAGAAACGAGAACCGGCTGGCCATACGGGTGATTTTGGAAATTTTTGAACGGTTTCGCTTTACGATTGATCGTCCTGAATATTGACTGAGTGCAATTTGTCTTGAAAAAATTGTGAAATACTGCATTATGTCCGAGGTCTGTATGATAAATAGTACTGTTTCACCTCAAATGTGATGTATAAAAACTATAAAAGGTTGGTTTAAACACCCCCAGATTTGTTGGCAAGAATTTGTTAAGTAAACCTGTCGAACGCAAAAAAATTCGGCGTGATTTGTTTTCCAAGAATTTGTTTTCGAGGCCTAATTTACTGTGATCTTGAATGTGATCGAAGATGTTTGCTATTTTTTGGGTGTACATATAAGGTTATCAATTCGATGTAAGATGTTTCACTCTAAAATAACTTAGCCTTTCCCTCAAAAGTCACATGAATGTGCCCTTAAGTTAAATGATTTGTGGATTAAAAGTTTATTGTTTGATTTAAATTATAAATTTCTTAATTGGAGCTTCGCTTTTAGCCCTGGCTAAATCTATATATTAAAAGTTTTGAACACCTGTCGTTTTGCTTTTGTACGGATCAAAAAGATGTACCATATATGACCGTACCTGACCGTATATGAGGTCGATCAGGAGCTCGGAGTGGGGAATTGTCTCTTTCTGCGTGCCCGGGTGTGGGGAAAGACAGGGCTGTGCCCGCGGGGCATGGTTACAAGTAAAATTCAACCGTGCATAACATCCTTGCCTTGTGGTGATCTCAAAACCTTATCAAGAGTCATTTCCTTCGGACAGCGAATAATCTAAGACAGAAGCTACAGCCAAGATTATCTTCGGGGAGCGAAGAATCTAAGACAGAAGCGTAAGAAAATGCTTAAAAAACCGTTCCTGTTTTATCTGTTTTACATAGTATTGCTGCAAACCGTAAACTCGTCTGCTGAGAAGATAGTATCTATAGCTACTATTTTAAGTCAACAAAAAAGGTCAAAAAAGATATAATTCATCTCAACGAAGCCGTTGTTATTCCTTCAGCTTAGTGTTCTGATTTGTTGTGTCACGTTTTTGTGCGAGATCGTAGATCACAACCTCAGTTTGACCCTCGTTTACTATACCTTTTGTTTTGTGTTCGTCTCTTGTTTCGTGTCATATATGAGTCATTGACTCGAGTCATGTGCTATTTGACATGTTTGTTCTTCTTTCGTTCCTTAGCGTGTTTGCTTACTTTTTACGTTACTTGGTAATTTACAACATCCAGACATTTACTATTCTATCTCAGCAAAATAAGGGAGACATTGGAACCTTTAAATTACATAATATTTACAAACGATTTACAATAACTGCTGTTAGTGATTTAAAAAAGTGATTTCGAAATAAACCCCGCCCTTGATTACAGGCCGCATTGGAAACGCTAAAAATTTAATAAACGCCGCGACGTTTAATCGTATAAATACGATAAGCCACATGCAGTCATAGACTGCCTGTTTTTTCTTCCTAGTATGTATGTGTAGCTTCTTGATAAAAACTTCAAAACATATTTTTCCAACAATAATTGCCGTCTCAATTTATTCTATTCTCTTTATACTTCTTCTTGAAATAGGCCTAGAAATAATCTCTGAAAACTGCAACCGATAACCTGGTAGATATTCTAGTGATTTAGATTTTACAGGTTTACATAAATAAGTTTCTCGGTTGCTCAACGACCAGTGAAAACATACTCTTGACCGTACTGACGGGGGCAACCTGTTAGATGACAATAAATCTACTCTTTCAGGTATTTAGACCATTCACACAAACCAAATGTGACAGTAAACACGCTTGATGTGACTTTCCCACTCTAAAAATTCAGAATTGAGCCCGTGATCGAAAAAAGATACAAGCGGAAAACTTGAAAAAATACGTGAACTCAATAGGTAAAAAATGTGCCCGCGATAGAGACAGGAGATGATGGTCAGCGGATGCCCCAGTTTAACAGCTGTCAATTGGCCTTCATAAGGATGGCAAATATTTGAATAAAGGGACTGCGAATCTGACAGCTTGGAGGGGAAGTGTTGGCGAAATGACGGGCCGTAGATAGTAGTTACCCTTAATCGCGTCCAAATAGTTTTAACAAAATTATTTTATAATACTTTGTATTAACATAGGTTCTATAGAACGCCGAAAAACTTTTCCCTCTTTTCATGAGTGAAAGGCGTCCGAAACAGTGTAGGTAATATTAAAAATTGTACGGTTGATTTAGAAACATTTTCTCTTGAAAACCGTCAACCGTCAAACCCAACCCCCTAGATACAGACCTTCATAGATACAGAGTGTTAGTGGGGCAGGAACGCGTTTTTGTCGAAACCTTAAGAGCGTCTGCGTTAAACGCTAATAGATAGGCCGAAATTTCCCCTTTCTTTCCCGTCAGAAACGAAAGTTCGCACATAGTTTTCCAAATTCTCGAATTTTCATCGAATTTTGGCGAAGTACGCCCTCATTTCTTTTGCACATAACTGCATATAATGCATGTAGACTGGTTATGACCAAACGAACTTCCATTCAGCAGTTTTTGAGCATGGTTATATTACGAATCAAATCGTGACCTCATCGATGAATATTATCTTAATTTCTTACTTGTCTTTTTTAGGTTTTCGGCAGCCAATCAATTCAACTCATTACACAATGTGTCAAAAAGAATGTAAGTTATTATGCTCTAATTTTTCGTTAATAATTACTGAACAGAAATTTAAAGCAAAGAATGAAAACTGAAAATAATGCCAGACTGAAGTATAAGATACATCATACGAGAAACATGAGACGGCAGATGTAACAGTGCAATGACATCTTTATTTCGCTCCAATCACAGCGATTTACAGAACACATCAAGCAGAAAAAAAAAAAAACAAGAAAAACGAGTTCAACAACCTCGTGGTCCCTATAGGCACTTGCGGTCAGCCAAAGGAGAGCCTTTTTGTTGAGCAAGCCATCCTAAAAGGGAAGAGAGGAGAAAAAGCCACAGCAATGAAAACATTAAAACGTGGGTGGGATTACATTGTTACATTCCGTGTCATTTTCTCGTATAATGTATCTTATACTTCAGGACCTAAGGTCCCTTGTGTAATCAGTTTGAAGTATGTGAAATACTGCTGGGCAAATTTTCCAGTCTGAGGAGTCCAGGTGAAACCTGGATTTCCTGTCTGCTGTCACATTCAAGATGCCCGGAATGTGTGTGGCAGACACCCTTATCTGCCTTTGTAGACACCATTGCCAAAGGTCGCGAGACAGAGAGCCCAGGAAACGAGATTTGGTCCCCCCCATCTTTTTCATAAACACAAGAACGCGCTTACAGGGGCATGCAGTCTCGCCTGCTTGGAGATTAGATCGAGAAATG